CTAGTGAAGCTGGAGGAAAGATCATCATCGTCTGTTTCCAAGTGCACTCAACCCACAGCTCCATCAGTGTGGAACAGTGAAGCAGAGCAGCGTAAAAAAGAGAATAACATCCCAGACCCAAACCCAGATTTTCCAGGAGAAGATGCAGGTATAAAGCTTATGAGGGAAGGTGGCAAACTATCAAGTGATAAAACAGACACTAAAACTATTTCTAGTGAAAAGCATGCAACAAAGAAGAGAAAGGAGTTAGATGATTTATCTGAAGATACGGAGGCACTAGAAATTGTGTTTGGAAGCAGAGACCTGGACTGGGAAGATCAAATGGCTGATCACGACCAGGAAGCTCAAGGAAATACACGAAAAAAAAGGTGTTTGGAAGCCAAAGGAACCAGCATTCAAGAAGTAAATGTAAAGCAGAAAGAGGAGAATAAAATATTGGTAAGTTAAATTCTTCTCATGTGCTTAGTCTTGAAATTTATAACTGTGTTAGAAGGATGCAGTTAGCCTCTTTATGGAGGAGGCTGCCTGCCTACAGAAAGTGGCTGTGTAAAGTTTGTTTGCTTAAATGTCTCAAATTCCTCTGACTAAAAATTGATGTGATGTATCTATTACATGTGCACATTGCAGTGTTACACTTATCTAAATGTTTTTTTTGTTCTTCAGGACACTTGTTTCTTTGTGAATTGAAAGCTGCATGTATTCTGAAAGTTTTCCTTCCTTTTTGCTTGAAGTACTCTAGGTAGAACAGCAGAATATATGCATGGTCGAAGAAAATCTTCTGATATTGTATATTACTGTGTTCATGATAATGTAGATATTTATACTAAAATTATACTAAATTATATTATCTTTATATAAAAGATATATATTATGAATATATTTCATTATATTTATATGAATTTTCTGAAGAATCTTTTAGTTGACCTCTTCTGTTGAATACCACGGTAGTGTCCAACATCTTTCAAGTCAGAATCTGTAGATGTCACTTGAAAGATTATTAAAATTCCTATATTAGGCAATTAAAATCACTAATGTCCTCTTAAAAAAAACAAGACAGAAAAAAAAACCAACCCACAGCTTGTGATTAATTTTCTTGACTGTTTCCCTCTTTTTGAGAATAGGGCAATTTTCTAAGATAAATGAAGAAAACAATGGATTTTGAGTTAATAGTAGCCACTTCATTGAGAAAAAACAAAAGCAGGTTTGTAGAGGAAAACAATGTTGAGAGCTCTAGCAAAGTGGACTATTAACAATGCAGAGGGGAATGGGAGAGAAGGAACACGTTTAAATTTTGTTTATTTAAAAATTATATCTATATTAAAGCTTACTGTTGAGTTGATTCTTACACAGTGTAGGCAGTGTTTAAATGCTGTAATAATCCTCAGCTCAGATCAGTTTAACACTCCTCTTGATACTTTACTGGAGCTTGCTTCTGACAAAATGTGAATTTTGAACTTTGTTATAATGCTGCTGGTTTTTGTGTTACTAACAGGCAAATTTTAAAAGACAAGTGAGTCTTACAATTGTAGAGAATCTTTGTTTCTTGCTCTTTATACTATCAGAGAAGAGGAATAGTCTTTTGAGCTTTGTTACAGACTGGTGAAGTTTTTCTAGTCTAACTTCTTGTCAGGATCATGAAGGAAAACAAATTCTTACATATAACTAAACTGTTATTTTGTCAGATGCACACTTAAAGATTTTTGCTGACAAGAATTCTTCTAATAGTTTAATAGTGATGGATTTTATTCACGTAAACTATATTTCCAGTGGAGTAGGAAGGAGATTTTGTTATAAAGCTCCACAGGTGTGTGTGTGTGT